CATGTAATGGTACAAGATCCCAATGATGAATGTAACTGTATTGTATACCTAAAATGTACCAATAAAGTTAATGGGGAAAAAAAATAAAATAAATTCTGCTAAGAGCGACAATCCTCAGTGTCTTCACAAAGTGTGCCTGCGTGTGCACATGCACACACACACACATACACACACACGGTAACTGTGCAAGGGGATGGACATGTTCATTAGCTCAGTGTAGCCATTATTTCACAATGTATTTGTATATCAAAACATTACGCTGCACACCTTAAATATTTACAATTTTTATTTGCCAATTATACCTCAGTATAAGACAGGGAGGGGAAGCTCCGGGGAAACAGCCTCTTCCTCGAGACAGCTCCCCCCTTGTCACAGGGTGCCTGGAACAGTGTCCTGCAGTCACTGTGAGAACTAGCCTGAGGCTGAAACTCCTCCTACAGCCCACTTTACTAGGAATTCTGATTAGGATGGCAAACTTTCCTCTTACAGAGGCCACCAGAGTGTGTTGCCCGATGCTTGCAGCCAGAAGCACGCACACTGACACAAACTCTGTGAATCCTCAGTGTGCACATGGGGCGGCCAAGACACCAGGAAATTAAAGGAGTTGAGCAGGACGGAACTCACCTGAGAGCCATGGTAAACCAGACCACAGCCAGAATCAGGGTGTTCATTCTGTAGGGGCCCATCACACAGTACAGAGCATTGTCCCAGACCTGAAAGCCAGACCAGAGGACATTGGTTAAAGGAAGGAACATGTGTCATGGAAGAGCTCATTCTAGGATCTGGGAGGGAACAGGCAACCCATCATCTCCCAGAGCAGCAGGAAAGCTCGTCTCTTCCTGCTCTGACAGTGCTGCAGCTTTTCCCCTGCGATCAAAACCATCCATGGATGGGACCAGAGCGCACTGGGTGAGGATTCCAAGGCACTGAACCAACTGGAGTGGTGAGTTCCCCCCACCTTGGCAGGGATGATGTTCCAAATGTTCACTGACCACACGTCATAGACACCACCACCACCCCACCTCAGTGCTGCCTCAACAGCTGCCTTGCTCCTTCCTTGCAGAGCCAGTGCCCTGCAGAAAGGACAATGCCCTCCTCCGTGAAGAATCTTTCCCCCAAATCAATAACAAACCTTAAGGAGCTATTGATTCACTCCCTTCTTCCTTCCTGTGGATTCCTTAATAAGTCACTAAAGAGAAGGATGTTTACTCAGACTAGTCTATATCCTTGCCTCTAAACCAGAGTTTGGAGAGTGTGCACCTCAAGGATGCTCAGAAAGATGGAGGCAGACACGGGCTGGGACCCAGACCTCCTTAGCCAGAGCTGCTTCTTCCCATCATGCTGCCTTAGGCTGATGAGGATACTCAGGGTCTTAATTCTTCATCTGCATAGACACCCACAGAGATCCCCTCCCGAATCATACCTGCTTAAAAGTGGTCTTGAACCTGACCAGCCAGCGCTGGTACCAAGTTCCCGTCGAACTTTGGATCTCAATGAATTCATCCATCTGCTTGGGAGTTTTGATATGGGAAACCTGAAAAGCAAAGATGGGCTCAAGCTGAGGCCTCCAACGTTTTTTGCATGAAGGGCGGGTTTTGTGGGAGACCATTTTTTCCGTGAACGGGGTGGGGAGCAGTTTCAGGTTGATTCAAGAGCATTACATTTAGTGTGCATTTTATTTCTCTTATTATTACTCATGACAAGCAAGCAACCTACATCCCTTAAACACACAGTTCAAAGCAGGTTTGCACTCCTATGAGTATCTAATGCCACCACTGACCTAACGGGGTGGAGCTCAGGTGGCTGTAAATACAGATGAAGCTTTGAGTGCTTGCCACTCCTCCCTCTGGCTGTGTGATCCAGTTCCTAACAGGCCAGAGACAGGTATCAGTCCATGGCCCAGGGTTGGGAACCCCTGAGCTAGGGAATCTCAACTCCACTTTGTCTCCAGAATTTTCAAAATTTAGTTTAATATAATTGACCTTTTTAAACTTCTTTAGGTCAGAGGAGTCTCTGGTGACCTTCTAACTCTATGACTTCAACCCTGGGTGCACATAGCATCTCCTACACATCATTCGCAGGTGGACATGTCCCACTGTAGAAAAACTGCACCAGATTTTTTTCATCAAATCATGCCTCTGGGAAATTTATATTAGTGGCTCCATAACATACTAGTTTCCCATTTATATCTGCTTTACTCACAGTAAAACCAGTATCACATTAAAATTCACAATATTATCCTCAGTGGGTAGGATCGTCACAGAAGTCTAGGACCCAGGCAGGCATCAGCAGGAGGAAGGGGTGTGTCTACTCAACACATTTCTAAAACACAACAGAGTAAGAGAAATCACGGACTGGTTTTCCTAGTGGAAATCAGAGAGGGATGGCCCAAGGTAGCAGTGCTCATATTCCCCCGAAGGGCTGTGGAAAGTTGCTGCACCCAATTCGAACAACTTTGCACACCCAGACATTGGTTTCCAAATCAATCTGATGTGTAAAGTAGCCACTGAACTGCATCTGCTCACTGTTTTAATGAGATTTCTGAGCACACAGGCTCTTCTAGGCAAGTTATCAAGGGTGGTGCTTCTGGACATCTCCCCTAATTCACGGATCAAATGGAAGAGTGTTCTCAGAAAATCTCAGGCACTGTTTCCAGCACCTCCTCCAACAAACCTCCCATCCAGGGATACAACAGTGAGTCACATCAGCCTCTCTCTTTCTTCACCAAAGGACTGAGAAAGTGGGGACACAAAGGAAGAGAAACTGAGAGGGGGTCGGATGATCCACAGGGAGAACACAGTGCTTGGATACAGATACAGTAGCTGACTCCCTGTTGCCCGAGCACCTGGTCTGAATGAGCTTGGCTATGCTTCTGTGAACTGTGCCCACAGAGTCCGGAGACTCTTGAGAGGGGAAGGCATCCACGGAAGGAGGCTCTTTTCTTAAACTGCACATCTGTAATCACACTGTGAGCCTCCTGAGCTCGTCTGGCCACTCCGCATCCACTGTCTGCAGAGCATCCTTTGCCCAAGTCTGGACAGGGAACCCTGAGAACTAGGAGGGCAGGTTCTGGCTGGAGCCTGGAGCCTGGGCTTCCATTTATCCTGCAGACCCTCAAGCACCCCAGCACCCCACCAAAGTGGCCAGAGGCAAAGGCTGACACCAGGCCAAGAAGCTGCTTGAAAACCACACTCCAAACCACTCAAATGCAAATTATTTTCTTTGTTCCTTAGGAAAATAGCGCCTCATTCCCTAGGGATTTGGGAGTGGGTGTGTTGACAACTTCAGGCACCCTCTAATTTATGATTAATTAGAACACTTGCCTTTGATTCCATCTAGATTAGCATATGTCCCGTGCCTCCCCCCAAGCCCTGCAGAACACAGGTGCTCAGCAAAAGGCTTCCATGCCTTCCCTCCCCTTCCAAAGGCTTCTCTGGGAACACCTTCCAGGTGGCCGTTCACAGGCTGGACAGGCAGGGAGTGGAGCAGGTGGAACCCAGGCCTCCTGAAGGGAGAAAGCAAGGAGGGAGGCCCACAGAATTCCCTAAGTGAGGTTCTGACCACCCTCAGCCCTTCCTGGGTGGCTGAGTGCAGGCAAAGCGGATAAAGCCAGTAATTAACTCCATCACCTGGCTGCTGCCAACCACGGGCCAACTCTCTGAGACCACCCAACATTTCCAGTCCTCCCTTCTTTCTTTTCCTTTCCTTTCCTTTCCTTTCTTCCCTCTCTCCTTCCTTTCCTTCTTTCTTTAATTTTCCTGACCCACCAAGTCATCACATCTACATAATTCATAGATCAACAAGTCACTATAAAATACTGAACCCACAACCCTCTTAGTTCCATTTTCCTACTCTGTAAAAACTACTAAAAGCACAACTTATATCTAGAACTTATATCTAACCAGCATGAGCCTTGGGATGAGACACAATTCCAACACTGAATAGCCCCCACTCGTTGATTTCTCCTTCAACTTTTTTCCCAGGAAGTGCTTTCACCCTTACATAAGGAACTCAGGTCCTGGGGTAAAAGGCTTACCTTTCGCCTTTGGAAATTGGAGGGGTTTTTTTTATCAAGTTTATTGCTCAACATTAGGCTACTGAGATTTGTTAAAAATAATTAAGTGGGAGGCCATTAGATTGAAGTGGCTCTAATTCCCTGGGCATTAGAACCTAACTCAGATGTAAGAGAAAATTATATTTAAGCTCAGCCAATCACAGGCAACCAACTGGTACAGCATTAGTTATATTATCTTGAATTTCACACCAGATAGTCCAAAGAAGGTCATTCCATTGCTCAAACTTCAAACAATCTGCTTCCACATTTGCCCTATAAAACCTCCCCCTGCACTCCTTTGGGGGAGCCCTGAACCATTTCTGGGTTGGAGGCATCCAATTCATAAACTGCTTTCTGCTCAAGTAAATTCTCTAAAGTATTAATGTGCCAAAGCTTATCTACTAACACATTAGAACAAGTTGTCAAAGGAGAAGATGTGGGATCACTCATCTACAAAGGCGACCCCAGTGGGACAAGGCCAGTCGGCTGATTTAGAAGAGATCCTTCCATGAGCCCCAGGCAGGAAGCACAGGGTGGCCCCACTGTGAGGCACCACTGTGCCAGGTGACCAAGGGTGAAATAAGAGTCAGGCAGAGACAACAGTTTACCAGGAAAATCAGGGCAAACATGCAAGATGGGCTGCGGAGGGATGCTCTATCAGGACTCCTCTTATGAGAAGCCATGTGTGTTTGGCATAAATCTGTTAGCAAACTGCTTGAGGTGTGGGAGAATCCCAGGGAGACATACTCAGATTTGAAAGACCATGGCCTGAGCCAAAGAAGTTGTTTTATTCCAAAGGGAGAAAGAGAGAGAGCAAAGGAGGAGAAATTTTTTTAAATGAAAAGAAGAGAGAAGGTAGGAAGAAAAGAAGGAAAAGGGGAAGACGCCGAGTCACCCCGCTGCAGACAGGCAGGTCTGCCCATGCCCTACCTAGGTCCTGAGTCCCACAGAACACGCTGAATCAGCCCACTGCGGACAGGCAGGTCTGCCCACACCCTATCAAGGTCCCCAGTCATGCGGAACACATGCCGAATCAGCCAGCTGCAGACAGGCAGGTCTGTGCACGCCCTACCAAGGTCCTGAGTCGCACGGAAGACACCGAATCACCCCGCTGCAGACAGGCAGCCACCTGATTCCACACTACAAAGACGCA